AGGCAATTGAAATCTTTAGGTTGTGTGATAGAAGCTTGGTGCCATAGTCCACAGAGCGGGTTGGGAAATGAGAACAATTTTGTTTTTATGTAACGGACATTAAGATATAAAAGGTTGTTACCCATTTTTTTTCATCAGCAATCTTTTTTGTCTCGTGAGTTTATTTTCTCTTTTATTTGTGTTTTGCCACCCCTGGCCGGACTCAACTTGTATCGCCCCAATCCTGCTGGTCCCGCCTGTCTAAGATCTAAACACAGCGTGGGTAGACAGACCGGAGATCGGTACAGTTGCTTTAGTGACCAGGTATTGGAAGCGAGTCGGGAAAGGCGAGGCTGGTGATCATCTGACCAAGGGGTTGGAGCGGCACGCTTGGACCCAGGAGGAGCGACCAGGAGGAGCGACCAGGAGGAGCGACGTCACCGTTGGCGCCGTAACCAAAGGATCCGACCCTGGGCCAGGTGTGTAACCGTCACAGAGAGAAGAAACTATTAGCATAGGACTTACGGTTACAACTTGCAATTTCAACATAAAATCATGAGACCTAGCTGCCAATCCAGTAGTGCGTTTAAATTCATGAAGTAGAGGTAGCAATGAGAAAAGCTTTGAGAACAATTGCCATGAAAATATTTCTAGGAAAGGCAAAAGTAAGCAATGTTACAACAGTTAGAAAATGACTGAAGCTGAGATGCCATGTCAGGACCATAACATTGTAGATTATTCTTTGGATTTTGTCAAGAATCTCTAGATATAAAACAGAAGCACTAGACAAGATGTGGCAGCAATATTTGATGCATGGATGAATAGTAAACTTATAAATGTGCAAAATTCCTGCAATTGATACAACAGAGTCCTTCTACTTCATGTCAGTGGAAAATGTGAGACCTAGAAAGTGCAATGAGTTGCTTTCCTAGAGGTTAGCATCAGCCATGCTGATGGAAGTTACAAATAGTTCTTTAAGATGATAATGGTTTGGTAGAATTATTAGATATGCCTGAGTATAGTCACATAAGCTTAGAACATTTATTGGTTGGTTGGTTGCTTTTGTTTAGCGGCATATCAACCTCTATGGGTTATTTAATGCCAAAATCTAAATATTTTGATTGGCTTGGTTGGTTGATTTTGTTTAGCGGCATATCAACCTCTATGAGTTATTTAATGCTGAAATCTAAATATTTTGTACACAATTTTTATTTTAGTTTTTGAAATAATAATGGTTTAGTTAAACAAGTCTTAATAATCAACCCATAGACAGGGGAGAAAAGGTGGATTCATACTGTTCCCAAGCGTATTTGTGCCTAAGAGAATATAATGAACCCAATTAGAATTGGAATTTGGTTTTCCAATTAAAAATTCCAAGCCATTATCTATTAAACTACTGACACATCCAAACTTACAGCACTTGGTATTCCCGAGCAGTCACCCATCTAGGTATTGACTAGGTCCGACATTGCTTAACTTAAGTGATCATAGGACATTTGTCTGTGTACTATTCTGTGTTGTGTTCAATGTGATTTGGGATTTACTGGAGACTAAAAGGCCTACCAGAGAAGAACAAGATATTTCTTATCTCTTAGGCATCCAATAGGTTTTAAAAAAAAAAGTGGGGAAAAAAAAAAAATTTCCTTTTATACTGCTTTATTCACCCCATCTAGCAGTAATTAGAAGTTCCTTGGTGGGCAAAGTGGTGTAATCTCATTGTTAATGCTTCATTATAAATTCCTACAGTTGAATTTAATGGCTGAAGAATAGATCAGCTAAAAGAAACTAAAGAAACTCATTAAGAATATAATAATAATATTAGTAATTTCCATATAAGGAAACATTTGGCATTCATTGACCAACAAAGCAGCATTGTTTTCAGTTGAAATTTATAAAATCTTTGTCTTAAAACACTTTTTAGGAAAACAGGTTTCTCAAGTCCAGTGGCTTTTATCACTCTTTCCAGTATTGATGGAGGTTTCCTTCCTAACCTTCTATTTCAAGTGGTGTGGAATGTTAATATTTTGATAAAACATTTGATAATAAATTGATAAGAACCCCCTCTCCCAAATCTCTCAGCTCTTAAGTTGAAGTATCTGGTAGGTTAATGTTTACCCAAACACTGTAGATTATCAGTAGCTTTTGCTAACACTATAATTTTGTAATATTAAATGTAAATATAGGGGATCGTATATTCTATCAAATATGCCATTTGATTTGAGATTCTCTAAATATTTCTGGAACTCATTAAATCAAGAGAAGATAAAAGTAATTTTAAAAATTATAAATATTCAATATTTGATTTATGGAAAATAAAATATGTTCAATTGCTTCAACATTTCCATGCCTATTACCATCCTCAAGATGTATCTAGATATGTAAAGGACAAAAATTGTGCTGCACTTTTAAAAAAACTCTGAGGAAAAATAATTAATTTTTTTTTTTGAATTACTGAGAAGAAGCAATATCATGAAAAGAAATTTTAAAAAATTAAATTAAAAATTAAAATTAAAAAAATATCATGAAATATCATGAAAATTCTTCTTGAACATAAATTTTAAAATGATTCTCAAAAGATGTCAAGTTTTTTAGAAAAGAAACAATTTCCTGAAATCTGAATGAACACACACACACACCATATATACTTGTGTATAAGCTGACTTCATGTATCGTGCAATCTCTGAAATATTTTTTGCATGAATTTTAACCCCTGCAGAAAATTTTACCTGAGTATAGTGCAACTGGTCCCTGAAAATGCATGATTTTTAACCTCTTCCAAAAAAATTACCTGTGTATAATGTGACACTATTCTTTGCATAAAAAAAATTATCATAGAAACTGGGGTTTGAAAATTATCATAAAAACTGGGGTCTGAAAATTATCATAAAAACTGGGGTCCAAGATGGATGATGAATTGAATGGTCTGAAAAAGCCTCAATGCAAGAAATACTATTCTTGTATTTTACAGCATGTGCACACCCTGTCTTTTATAATTTGATTGTTAAAAGCTGAGTTCCAAAGGCTCATTGGGATAGTGAAAGGTACCTTTCAAAAGCTAGGCAAAGTATTAAGAAAACAGAAAAGTTTTGTTATAAACAAAGAAGAGTATTGAACTATTACATAATATCAGTCTTCCTAGATGGCAGTAAATGCTGGACTATTTCCTCACAGAAGATAAGGCAACAGAAATATGGTTTTACAGAAGTATACTGATAATATTATGGCCTAAACATGTGAGCAATGACAACGCTTTAGAGAAAATAAATAATGTATAGGCATATATATTTTTTATATATATTTCAGGATGCAGGCTCTTAATTTATAATTGGTTTTATTTACTGATGGTTATTTTTGTTGTATGAATATTGCTTCAAGGATCATAAGTCTATTCTTACTATTTGATTTTACTAGTATTTTGGTATTGTTTGTGAGTATCTGTCTAATGCTACTATGATCTTTATTCTGCTTATTAATATCTTGTCTAATAGCAATATGGTCTGATAAGTGGCAGGTGAGTTTCTGTGAGAATGTGGTTGTTGTATATCCTATGTAAAATGTTTTGTGTTTTTTTATTTACAGAGAAACGTTCCTTGAGTTGGGCAGGTATATTCATAAACACTACTTATATAGGGGCTGGAAGTTTGGGAGATATTACTGTTAATAATTAAGTTGCTAGTTTGTAATTTTTTGTAATAAATAATGAATCTGATATATTTATTTTTATCAACTGGTTTTATATATCTATGTATTATGTTTTTTGGATTGCTGTTTCATCTTTTTTGTAATTGTGGTGCATTTGATTTTGGTAATATATGTTGATAGTGCTATTGTTAATATTATGTCAACTTTAATCTAGAGAATGCCACCCTTATTAAAAGAGAAAGTAACTTAATTAGAAAATTCTTGAGAGTGCCATTATCAAAACTTATCAAAATATAAATCTGTGCCCTGGATTTTTTAAAATATCTCAATTCCTGAAAGAATTACTCCTTTCCCAAGCCAATATACATCATTATAAAAATATTAATAAATTAAAAGAAAACGGTTAAATTCATAAACTCATGTCATTTAAAATACATAACAGATAAATTAATCCCAAATTAAGATAATTTAAATACTATGTTAAAAAAAATTTTTTAAAATTCAGGTACATCACTTACTCACATTCATTTATTAGACACTGAATTGTGTCACTTGACGTCCTCCATAGCTTGCCTAGACTTTTCTGCTAACCTGATGACTATTCATGGGCATTCTTAAATTTATAAATTCCCACAGAGGACGAAATGCATTGGCTTAGATAAGTTTTCCTTTTGTCTTTAATCATACTTCTTACAGATATATTTTATTTATATTTGAATTTTTACATGTGTGTGTTTGTATGTGTGTGCATGCCTGCATATAGATATATTTCTATGAAAGTGAGAAGCTAAGCACAATGAAGGTTGTTTATCTTACTCATAAGTAATGTATCCTTGATACTGATTGTCAGTTATCCACAAATGGCCTTTACTTTTAAGTGCACTGAAGCACCATGGCTCCTTCAAACATTAACTGTTGTTGAATCTAATCAAAACTCGTAGACGGATGCGACACAGAAATAGCAAGGCCTTCGTCAGACAGCAAGAATTTGATAACAAGCCACATTTATGTAAGCTTGGATGGGTGTTTTGGCAACCTAATGTCTTGCAAGGATTTACTTTAAAGTCATCAGTATTGCCTCAGAAGATATATGGAGTCGGGGGGGGGGCGTTAGAAAGCAAAACGGGTACAACATGCTATAAATGTTCATGGCTATTGGCATTTTCCCCATGTGTTAAAAAAACTGAAATAAGACTCAGCTAGAAACCTGAACAACAATACTATCATTTTTGTTAGAACCAAGCAGAAAATGGCCTAATGATTATATTTTTAATTGAGGAAGTTTATAATAAGTTTTTTTTTTTTTTTTACTTGAGGGGGGGGGATATTTCAATAATAGTATTTAGACCTTTCTGAAGTTCCATTGATGCATGCATATTTTAGATATAAGACAAAACATGCTTATTTTGTTGAGAGAAGGTAGAGAAGGAAAAAATGAACGAGGTTGGAAGTGAAAGATAAGGAGGAAAAGAATGGAAAGAGAGAAAGAGAGAGAGAGAGTAAAAGGGAAATGAATAAGCAGAAAAGTAGGAGGTGAGAAGTATCAGATAATCAAAATGGAAGAAAATGAGGAAAGATAAATGTTGAAGAAAGAGAAGAAAGAAGACAAAAAGAAAAAAGAGAGAAGAAAAGTGGAAATAAAAAAGTAGGAGAAAAGTAAAAGAGAAAAGCTGAAGGTGAAGATGAGAAATGAAAGTGTGAGCAGAAGAAGAGAACGAGAAAAAGAATAGAAGATTGGCAAATGGGAGAAAAGAATGAAGAAAGCATAACGAAGGTGGCATGAAAGAAGATGAAGAAAGAAAAATTAAAGTAGAAATAGAAGAATAAATGAAGGAATAGAAAAATCAAGGAAAGAAATTGAGAAAAATTGAGAGAAAAATGCAAAAGAGACCAGGAAAGGAAAAAGAAATGAAAAATTTTTCTTATAATAAAAAAGAAAAAAAAGAAAAAGATTGAGAACTTAAGGTCTATGCTAATTGTTTCTTCTCCTTCACTGCCCACTTGTTGAACTCTCTTCCAACTTCTTGCTTTCCTGTCAACAATGATCTTCAAAGATTTTAATGCAACATCAATCATCATCATCAGTCTCCTCAAATCCAGTCCTTTTTTGTAGTCTTAGATTGTTTCACTCTCAATAACCACTTGCATTTTAGTGGTTTTTATTACTTTGCTTGGATTGGCAAGGAAAAAGCAAAAGAATGTATGGGAATAGAAAGAGAAAAGAGAGAAAAGCAAAAGAATGGATGGGAATAGAAAGAGAAAAGAGAGAAAAGCAAAAGAATGGATGGGAATGGAAAGAGAAAAGAGAGAAAAGCAAAAGAATGGATGGGAATAGAAAGAGAAAAGAGAGAAAAGCAAAAGAATGGATGGGAATAGAAAGAGAAAAGAGAGAAAAGCAAAAGAATGGATGGGAATAGAAAGAGAAAAGAGAGAAAAGCAAAAGAATGGATGGGAATGGAAAGAGAAAAGAGAAAAAGCAAAAGAATGGATGGAATGGAAAGAGAAAAGAGAAAAAGCAAAAGAATGGATGGGAATGGAAAGAGAAAAGAGAAAAAAGCAAAAAAAGAATGGATGGGAAGAGAAAAGAGAAAAGCAAAAGAATGGATGGGAATGGAAAGAGAAAAGAGAGAAAAGCAAAAGAATGGATGGGAATGGAAAGAGAAAAGAGAGAAAAGCAAAAGAATGGATGGGAATGGAAAGAGAAAAGAGAGAAAAGCAAAAGAATGGATGGGAATGGAAAGAGAAAAGAGAAAAGCAAAAGAATGGATGGGAATGGAAAAAGAAAAGAGAGAAAAAGCAAAAGAATGGATGGGAATGGAAAGAGAAAAGAGAGAAAAGCAAAAGAATGGATGGGAATAGAAAGAGAAAAGAGAAAAGCAAAAGAATGGATGGGAATAGAAAGAGAAAAGAGAGAAAAGCAAAAGAATGGATGGGAATGGAAAGAGAAAAGAGAGAAAAGCAAAAGAATGGATGGGAATGGAAAGAGAAAAAGAGAGAAAAGCAAAAGAATGGATGGGAATAGAAAGAAAAAGAGAAAAGAAAAGAATGGATGGGAATGGAAAGAGAAAGGAAAAAGCAAAAGAATGGATGGGAATAGAAAAAAAGAGAGAAAAGCAAAAGAATGGATGGGAATAGAAAGAGAAAAGAGAAAAAGCAAAAGAATGGATGGGAATAGAAAGAGAAAAAGAGAAAAGCAAAAGAATGGATGGGAATGGAAAGAGAAAGAGAGAAAAGAATGGAAAAAAGAAAAAAGAATATGATGGAAATAGAAAGAAAAGAAAAAAGCAAAAGAATGGATGGGAATGGAAAGAGAAAAGAGAGAAAAGCAAAAGAATGGATGGGAATGGAAAATGAGAAAAGAGAAAAGCAAAAGAATGGATGGGAATGGAAAGAAAAGAAAAGAGAGAAAAGGAAAAGCAAAAGAATGGATGGGAATGGAAAAGAGAAAAGAGAAAAAGCAAAAAATGGATGGGAATGGAAAGAGAAAAGAGAAAAAGCAAAAGAATGGATGGGAATGGAAAGAGAAAAGAGAAAAAGCAAAAGAATGGATGGGAATGGAAAAAAAGAAAAAAGAGAAATGGATGGGAAAAAGAATGGATGGAAAAGAATGGAAAAAAAAGAGAAAAAGCAAAAGAATGGATGGGAATGGAAAGAGAAAAGAGAAAAAGCAAAAAGAATGGATGGGAATGGAAAAAGAAAAGAGAGAAAAGCAAAAGAATGGATGGGAATGGAAAGAAAAAAGAAGAAAAGCAAAAGAATGGATGGGAATAGAAAGAGAAAAAGAGAAAAGCAAAAAAAGAATGGATGGGAATAGAAAAAGAAAAGAGAGAAAAAGCAAAAGAATGGATGGGAATGGAAAGAGAAAGAGAGAAAAAGCAAAAAAAGAATGGATGGGAATGGAAAGAGAAAAGAGAGAAAAGCAAAAGAATGGATGGGAATGGAAAGAGAAAAGAGAGAAAAGCAAAAGAATGGATGGGAATAGATGAAAAGCAACAAAATGGAAGGAAAAGCAACAGAAAGGAAGAAAACGGAAGAGCAAAAGAATGGAGAGAAAAGGGAAGAGCAAAAGAATGGAGAGAAAAGGGAAGAGCAAAAGAATGGAGAGAAAAGGGAAGAGCAAAAGAATGGAGAGAAAAGGGAAGAGCAAAAGAATGGAGAGAAAAAAAAAGAAAGAGCAAAAGAATGGAGAGAAAAGGGAAGAGCAAAAGAATGGAGAGAAAAGGAAGAGCAAAAGAATGGAGAGAAAAAGGAAAAGAATGGAGAAAAAAGGAAAAGAGAGAAAAAAAAGAATGGAGAATAGAAAGAAAAGGGAAAAAGCAAAAGAATGGAGAGAAAAGGGAAGAGCAAAAAAGAATGGAGAGAATAAAAGGAAGAGCAAAAAGAATGGAGAAAAAAGGGAAAAAGCAAAGAATGGAGAGAAAAGGGAAGAGCAAAAGAATGGAGAGAAAAGGAAGAGCAAAAGAATGGAGAGAAAGGAAGAGCAAAAGAATGGAGAGAAAAGGGAAGAGCAAAAGAATGGAGAGAAAAGGGAAGAGCAAAAGAATGGAGAGAAAAAGGAATAGCAAAAGAATGGAGAGAAAAGGGAAGAGCAAAAGAATGGAGAGAAAAGGGAAGAGCAAAAGAATGGAGAGAAAAAGGAATAGCAAAAGAATGGAGAGAAAAGGGAATAGCAAAAGAATGGATGGGAATGGAAAGAGAAAAGAGAGAAAAGCAAAAGAATGGATGGGAATAGAAAGAGAAAAGAGAGAAAAGCAAAAGAATGGATGGGAATAGAAAAGAATGAAAAGAGAAAAAAAGAATGGAAAAGAATGGATGGGAATGGAAAAAGGAAGAAAAAGAATGGAGAGAAAAGCAAAAAAAGAATGGATGGGAATAGAAAGAGAAAAGAGAGAAAAGCAAAAGAATGGATGGGAATAGATGAAAAGCAACAAAATGGAAGGAAAAGCAACAGAAAGGAAGAAAAAGGAATAGCAAAAGAATGGAGAGAAAAGGGAAGAGCAAAAGAATGGAGAGAAAAGGGAAGAGCAAAAGAATGGAGAGAGAAGGGAAGAGCAAAAGAATGGAGAGAAAAGGGAAGAGCAAAAGAATGGAGAGAAAAGGGAAGAGCAAAAGAATGGAGAGAAAAGGGAAGAGCAAAAGAATGGAGAGAAAAGGGAATAGCAAAAGAATGGAGAGAAAAGGAATAGCAAAAGAATGGAAAGAATGGAAGGAAAAGAATGGAAAAGGGAAGAGAAAAGAAAAGAGAAAAAAAAATGGAAAAGAATGGATGGGAATAGAAAGAGAAAAGAATGAGAAAAATAGCAAAAATGGAGAATGGATGGGAATAGATGAAAAAAGGGAACAAAATGGAAGGAAAAGCAACAGAAAGAGAGAAAAAAGGAATAGCAAAAAAGAATGGAGAGAAAAATGGAAGAGCAAAAAGAATGGAGAGAAAAGGGAAGAGCAAAAAGAATGGAGAGAAAAGGAGAAGAGCAAAAGAATGGAGAGAAAAGGGAATAGCAAAAGAATGGAGAGAAAAGGGAATAGCAAAAAATGGAGAGAAAAAGGAATAGCAAAAGAATGGAGAGAAAAGGGAAGAGCAAAAGAATGGAGAGAAAAGGGAAGAGCAAAAGAATGGAGAGAAAAGGGAAGAGCAAAAAATGAGAAAATGCAAAAGTCTGAAAAGTACCATAATGTAAAAGGCTAAAAAGTGAGGAGTGAGGAAAAGGGTATAAAGATGGAATGAAAATGAGCAAAGAAAGAAAATAAAAAGTAAAAATGAGAGGATGAGAGAAAAATGAATGAATGAAGGAGAAAGAGAGTGTGTGTGTGTGTGTGCAATAAAAAGAAATCAGTTTCATGCAGTTTATTTGTTTGCAGAAAATTCAAATATAAAACAGAAAAACAAAACTTTTGTATTTCGAATTTTTATTTGTATTTTAACTTCAGATTTTTTTTCTGTCAAAGAAAGTAAAAGATTTTTTTCTTTGTCATTTTACATATGAGATTGGGGTAAATAAATGACACAATTCCTCCTACAACTAACAAAGATCAGTCATCTGTGAACATTGGTTTTAGGTTAAAGAAACAAAGATCAGTGATTGGTTCCATCTATTTTGCTTTCTTCCTGTTTCCGTTGTCTGTCTGCATGGCAGTTCACTATTCCACTGCAGTGATGATACTACTACTACTACTACTACAACACTACCACCAACACTCTTCTGTTAGTGAGCAGAGACAAAAAAAAAATAATAATAGTAGTGGCTGATACTGTATTGTTGAAGAGGCTGTTTGAAAATCAAAGTGGTAAGGGAAAATATAAAAATAGATTTTAACAGCAAGCGTTTTAAATGCTCCGCTGCACACACACTCACACAAAAGCTCTACTGCTATAACCAGAAAAGCATTCTTTACTTTTAGTTTTAAAGTGCATTTGATGAATAAAAAAAATAAGAATAAATAAGCACACAAATAGTGAATATTAATATAAAAGATGAAGTTATTCGTATAAATAGTGTTTAAAAAGTAAAACCATTTACCCCCCCCCGCCTAAATAATAATCTAATTTCCCTTAAATATCATTTAAATTAAGTCTGGATTTTCAAAACTAACCCTAGGATAGCAAATGACCAGAGGTTCACTTCAAATATTAGTTTGCTTCATGGCACAAGTAAACACTTTGGGATAAACTGGAAAGAAATGAAATAAATAAAATAAAATAAAATTAAAAAAAAAAAAAAAAAAAAAAAAAATCAATGAAAAAAGGTATTTCCAAGATATTAGGCAAGCAAATCAATAATCAAATATTTAATTTGCACTTGTGTGGAAATTTATATATCTGTGAAGTGTTTTGACAAAGGCTGGTAAGTGCGACACTGAGATCCAAAGTAATGGGATGGCCAAAGATGCATTCCAATAGCAAGGCAGAGTATTATGAAACAG